CAACTACCTCAGCATTTATTTATTATGTGTAAGTCATGAATTACAATACACTGTTTCTAGTCACCCACATCCTTCAGGATTTTAGAACTAAATGATCTTATCCTCTCTTGACTAGCTTTTAATTCATAAATTGGGATAGGAACACAAGCTACCCAAGACGGCTTTTTAGGTTTGAATAAACTGAATGAGTTGAATGAACTGAGTTGAATAAACTGACGCAAAGAAAATATTCTGTTTGCATTTACAGAAGAGGATGTTGCTATTGAAAGCTGGTTTAGCACATCAAAACCTCTGGTGCCCGATGCTTAGCCTTCAAATTTTACCAGTTCAATGGCAAACTTGGCAGCAAACACATACTTCTTAATATTGTCTTCTGTTTGATTAAAATAATTTTAATTAATTATAATATGTTTAGGCATATGTTGTTAATTTCACATTTATTTTAGATAGGTTTATTTGTAAAGCCTTATATTTAAAATAAATGGAAAAATCAATTTAAATACTTTAATCTATTTTTATTTATCCTTCACTCTTGCCATCTTGATGCTGTAGCATGTCTCTGTAAGGCCCAAAATGTTTCATGTGGTTAACTTAGAGGAAGATGATTCAATTCTTAGATAGACTGACTGATGCCAACCAAGATACTGAGTTAAAGGTTCTGATTCTTGGTAGTCATTGAAAAGAATATGATTAAGTATTCTTTTTATAAATGTTAATTTTATAAAGTTAATTAACAAACATAACACAAAAAAATCACTAAGGCTAAACTACTATAAACACTACTAAACTTATCTCAAAATTTAACAATGCAGTTTATCAAATCAAAGTCAACTAATCAGAATCAATTTTGGATTGGAATTAAACTATCGGTTTAGTCAAATCATCAGATCAATGCAGCAGGTAATCAATCTCTCACAAATCTGAGGAGAGGAATCCAAGGAGGTTGCTGCCAGTTTAGTTACAAACCCCAATTAGAAAACTTAACTCTCACCAATTCAATCAGCTTAGCTAGCTAAATATTTTTGTACTGAAACCAAATGATAGTCTTAAGTCTCACAACCAGAAAGCCAATTAAAGTGTCCTCAGATTTCATTGTTATGTGTGCTAGCTAACCCTCTCCTTTCCCCATCCCCAACACAGATTCAGATGGATGATGTAAAAGCTTATCCGGTTACCACGCTGGAGATCAACATTCGGGTGTTTGATTTACTGGGTCTAATATAGACCCGTCAGTGGTACGCTGAGGGCAGCTCCAGCCAGTACCTGTACTCCTCACAGTTGCAAGGAGTAAAGGAAGTGATGGGTGCATTTGCTCTCATTGCTCTCCCACTGTGAGGATGCCGCCAAATTCGGCTTACGATAAGCCGACTCCAGCTACATATTCTGCATAGCTGGAGTTACGTACCTTAAGCCCATCTTCCAACTCTAGTGTAGACCTGGCCTTACACTGCTCAAGGCATCCTTGATCAGAGTAAGCTCATTAATTAATTAGTCAGTACAGCCAGTCCAGTGGCATAGTGTAGTGCGTCAGCATGGCCGCCTGCTGACCCAGAAGGGGAAGCCCTCCATAATACCCCTTGGTGGGTGGGGCCAGAGCCATCCAGCCCCTCCCACAGGAAGCGGAAGGGCGGGGTTGGAATTATAAGAGGAGCCTTGAGAGCTCAGTAAGATCCCACCGGGCAAGAAAGGCAGACACTCTCCCTGGCCTCTCCAGGAGGGAGGCCCAATGGCCACAACCCCGAAGGGATGACTAGATAGGGCCCCTGGGACCACTGCCCGACCCTGGAGAAGGGCCAACGCCACTCCGAACCCCACCAGGAACCAAGGAGGGACCGAGGGGACCAGAGCCCACACCAGGCCCCAGAGCTGGGGCTGCATTGCCAGGACCAGGGAGGGACCCAGACCCTGAGCCTATGGACACCCTGCCGGTGCTGACACTCCCGGAGGTCCCTGAGAAGCAGCAGTCATGCTATGTAGGCCAGGGGAAATTAGGAAACGGCCCAGGGAAAGCCAACCCTGCGCCAGCTGATGAGATGGAGGTCGGGTGGCAGCACATTGTGACCTTGATCCTCTCTGACCAAGTGGCTGCCTGTGCTGCCACTGCTAGGGCCCTGGGCTGGGACGCAGTGGAGTGGGCGGGCCAGTGTCCCCCCTGTCACCTCTCCAGTTGGGGTGGCAGGTTCCCCTTGAAGGGAAAAACCCCCCAGCTAGGAGAGCTGACACCCGACTCAGCCTGCAGACAGGCCTGAGCCTCAAACTGCTATAGACTTCTCCATTTGTTTGCTGCCCCACCCTGACCCAAGGCCATGGCAACTGAACTATAAACTTATTTGTCTGTTTGTTGCCCTGCCCTGCCAAACTGTATAACCGCCCGGCTGTTTGTCGGCCATCCTGACCCAGAAAGGAGAAGTTCCTATTATGCCTAGCCCATGTAGTGAGTCAGAACGACAGCCCACTGACCTGGATTGGTGCACATAGATAGAAGCAGCTGTCAGGATTGCCAAGAAATTGGTATGAAAGCATATTAAGTTATAAAGACCCGTGCTCGGTGTTATGAGACTGGAGAAATATACTAACAGAAAGCTTGGGAATCTGCTCAGTGCAGGGTCTAGTATCACATCACACACAAACTCTACTGCCCACAACAAATCCATTCTAGAAGCTCTCAGTAGAGGAGAAGGTGACAGACCAACTGAAACAATGCCCCAGTTATCCAGAGCTCGCTATGAGAGAGGTGCAGCCAGAGCATGAGTGCCTAATGGCAGAAGAAAGATAGAGGGCAAAGATGGAGGCGGTCTACAAGAAGTAGCAACAGGGTAGAAGTACAGGACAGTTTATCACTAGAACCATTATTTCCCACTTTGCCACCTCCATTGCCACTCTCAGAAGACCAACCTTTAGCGGAGTGCCACAGTATTCCCTGCACCCCTGGGGACCGGCACCCATGCTTCCTTCCAGCCCCCTACAGCCACGTGCCTGGCCCAGCTATGTAGTGCCAGAGCTGTCATCTGCTTCCGTATCCACAGAGAACTCCCCAGCACTCCAGATGCAGAAAAGAAGCCCTGTTACTGCCTCCATCCTCCTGCTTGACTGGAGGGCTTAGATGGGCAGGCCTGGTTTTGATTTGATTTGCTGTGTGGGGTTGTGTGCACAGCAGTGGGGAGCGTGCTACTGGTTGGATTCTTTTGATTATGTCATATATGTATATCTGATGTTCAGGAGGTGCCTAGGAGTCAAGTTGTGTGTCTTCTTTTAAATATATTATAGAAGTGTAATTTTCAAATAAATAATGGAAAAGTAAGAGCTATGAGAACATCTACAATGACTGTAAATAGGAAAAAGTACTATAAGAGATATAAATGCCACACTTGAGGAATAAAGCAGCAACTAACTGGCAGGGATTAGCAGAAGGCAAATTGTTCCTTTACTGTCAGTTCAGGGTTTTTTGCTTTGATACATGAAAACTGGTACTAGGCACCGTCAGAGATAAGATATTAAATGGACAGCTGGTCCTATCTGCTATGGCAGCTTCTGTGTTCCTACGCTTGTTTAACTGTTCACATAAATAGCAAGTGAGACTTTAAGACAGGAAAGTGATAGAAATGTAACCGTGTTAGTCTGGTGTAGCTGAAACAAAAAACAGGACTATGTAGCACTTTAAAGACTAACAAGATGGTTTATTAGGTGATGAGCTTTCGTGGGCCAGACCCACTTCCTCAGATCAAATAGTGGAAGAAAATTGGCATGACGATATATACCAAAGGGTATCCTTTGGTATATATGGTTGTGACTATTTTCTTCCACTATTTGATCTGAGGAAGTGGGTCTGGCCCACGAAAGCTCATCACCTAATAAACCATCTTGTTAGTCTTTAAAGTGCTACATAGTCCTGTTTTTTGTTAAGACAGGAAGTGAAGGGTACTCTAGCTAAACTGCAGAGAGTATATACAGAGGCAGAATATAATTATCCATATTGCAATTTGACTAGAATGCCAGATCCACACTTCTGGGGAAATGCCACAATTTTTAGGGCATATAAATGGGGAAGGTGTAAGTAGGAATAAGGGATCTTACCTGAAAGTAGGAATAAGGGATCTTGCGGAAAAGGGCTTATTTTCCGCAAGATCCTGTCTAGACTGGCGCTTTTCTCCGGCAAAACCCCGAGCTGGAAAAAAGCGGCAGCCATGTTCATGCAAATGCCGCGGGGATTTGGTATTTGCAATTCCTAAGTGTCTCATTTGCATCCCTTTTACGGAAAAGGGTGCCAGTGTAGACACAGCCTAAGTGTGTAGGTTACAAAGGCACTTGGTTCAATGGTTCATCTGAAACACAGCATATTTTTTATAAAATAAAGAAAAAAAAGTATTGAGTAATATCTCCATGTTAGTTAATAAACTGATTGTTCAGAGAAGATCCAAGCAAAGGTGTGCAGTGTGATTTGTATGCAACAGGCTGGCTAAGTGGTGTGATGTCCTCATAGAGGGTATGTCTAGACTACAGGATTTTGTTGACAGAAGTTTTGTTGACAGATACTGTCGACAAAGCTTCTGTCGACAAAGAGCGTCTACACTACATTCAGTTCTGTCGACAAAGCAAGCTGCTTTGTCAACATAACAGTGTGGACGCAAAGGACAGTTTAGATGCAAAGGACAGTTTAGAACTCTGTCGACAAAAGGTGTTATTCCTCGTAAAATGAGGTTTACCAGTGTCGACAAAACTGCTGAGTTCTGTCGACGTTATGTCGACAGAACTCAGCGGTAGTGTAGACACAGGTTTAGTTTTGTCGACAAAAGTCCACTTTTGTCGACAAAACCCTGTAGTCTAGACACACCCTTAGTGACTGGTTTGTATAGAAAACAGGAGCCTGCTGGAGCTCTGAGCACCTCAAGAAGCAGATGTCTGGGGATATTGTGTTGAACGTACTGATATTCAGAGAAGACCTGTGCCAAGGAAGAGCTGTTACATGCAGACATTCAAGGCATCTTTGTATATCTCTCTAGGTATTGAAGCATCTGCGTCATTTAAATTTCACCAGTAACATGGGGGAGCAAGTGGATTTTGATGAGTCTGGGGACCTAATAGGGAATTACTCGATAATCAATTGGCACCTGTCACCAGAGGATGGCTCTATCATGTTTGAGGAGGTCGGACACTACAATGTTTATGCCAGGAAGGGAGAGAGGCTCTTCATCAATGAAAACAAAATCCTGTGGAGTGGATTCTCCAGGGAGGTAAGTGCCACAGGTCACCTTTAACCCCTCACTGCAGCATTTCCCAAATCTTTAAAACCGAGTCTTCCTTCAAGTTAGATCTGTCTCTCTCTCGCCCTAGTTCTTCACTCCTCAATCTCTCTTTCTCTCTTCCATATGCTCATGTTGGGAAGTATCTTCATAATATGATTCTTCCTCACCTTCCTTACATGCTTTGTTGAGCACTGAAATAGTTAACAATGCTGACATTTAAAATAGCATTGCCCTGTTTTGCCCCCGTGGCTAGCCAAAATTCAGTGTGTTGCAGCGTTGTTTTGGTAAGGAAGAGAAAAGGATTATATGATTCAGGTATATTCCTGGAATTTGATTTTTTTTCAACAAAGAATGTTCACATAGTCCTGTTTCCCTGCGCACAGTAGAAACAAACAACAGCAGGTACTTTTTTTACTTTGAATTCCCCAGGACTGCCACACTAGTAAGCCCTGTGCCCAAGAAACTGTCCCATTGCTTCCTCCCAGGGAATATTTTCCCTTCAGGAGGCGGGAACTCCATCTGCTGACTTCCCTATATCCTGATTCATCCCTGTGCATTTACTACAAGGGCAAATTTCCGTTTACCTCCCTAAAGAATCTCGGGCCTGCCTTGCCATCTGTTGCTCGGGCAATAGCTTCCATTTTCTCAGATGCCTTTACTTTATATCCCAGTTCCTTCCATTCACTCTGAGAGAGTACTTTATACACACATTGGTTTTAATGAGCTTTATGATTAAATTTGGATTTCAGGGCTTTTTTAGATGAGCACCGAGTGCACAGCAAACTGAGTGGCACTATTAATCTAGACAGGCTCCTAGAGCCACTGCTTGCAGTCATTAGCATCTTTCAGCATAATAATATCGTTGGCAGCAGAGTCAGCATCTGTTGAAATGAATGGGACAGTTCACCCCCCAAACTATTGCTTCAGTCTCCCTGAAGCTCAAGAAGATTCTGCATCAGTTTTGTTTGTTTTGCCTGTTGAAAGTTCTGTTCACAACCAGAAATTTACACTTTTCTAAAATGAAACTTCATAATTGGTGAACAATTAAGACAGGGGCAAGGAACCTTTTTTTTAGCTTGGGAAGCACTGAGCCACAAAAGCAGTTCCGGGCTTTCTCTTGCACCCCAGCCCCATGGGAGAGGCGCTGAGGCTCAGGGTTTCCCAGAAACTCAGGTACCATGGATGTGTCAGTTTGGGATCCTTGGGATGCCAGCTGAAGTGCTGCGATACCTCTGAGTCAGCCTATTCTGCCAGCCTACGCCATCCTTAAACCTTGTCTTGCTGAGCCAGGCACAAAGTCTTCAGTAAAGCTCACAAGGAGGCCTCCCCTAGCTCCAGAACAACAGACACTGAGATCAGCTCTGGGAAGACTCAGCTTAAATGAAGGGACTTGCTCCAGCACCCAAATGTCCCCCCCCTCCGCAATGGGGTACAAAGCCAAAGTTATATGAAGTTCACTTCCTTTCTCAACATCCAGAGATGTCATTATTCCCCTTTACTCGGCTCAGGTGAGGCCACATCTGGAGCATTGTGTCCAGTTCTGGGCCCCCCACTACAAAAAGGATGTGGACGCATTGGAGAGGGTCCAGCGGAGGGCAACCAAAATGATTAGGGGGCTGGAGCATATGACTTATGAGGAGAGGCTGAGGGACTTGGGTCTGTTTAGTCTGCAGAAGCGAAGAGTGAGGGGGGATTTGATAGTCCAAAGACGATGGAGAGAGGCTGTTCTCAGTAGTGACAGATGGCAGAACAAGGAGCAATGGTCTCAAGTTGTGGTGGGAGAGGTCCAGGTTGGATAGTGGGAAAACTATTTCAGTAGGAGGGTAGTGACGCACTGGAATGGGTTACCTAGGGAAGTAGTGGAGTCTCCATCTCTAGAGGTGTTCAAGTCTCGGCTTGACAAAGCCCTGGCCGGGTTGATTTAGTTGGGATTGGTCCTGCCTAGAGCAAGGGGCTGGACTTGATGACCTTCTGAGGTCTCTTCCAGTTCTATGATTCTATGATTCTATGTGAAGGAGGATATGCACATCCTCCCACACCTTCCCCAGCTTGAAATTACATAAACTAGATTATATGATAAACCAGGAATACATTTATTAACTATGAAAAGGTGCATTTAAGTGGCGAAGGAGATAGCAAACAGAACAAGGCAAATTACTAAAAAAAATGCAAAGTGCACAATCTAAACTATTGGCTAAAGAAACTGGTTACAACTAATAGACGAGTGGTTACACCTAGACATTATTTCAAATAGAAGCCTTCAAAGGCCAAAGGTGCCCTGTCTGGCCTGGGTCCAGCAGTTCTTCCCCCACCCTTTTAGTTACATTCTTTTTTTTTCTGATGTTTTCAAGTATCCCTTTGGGGAGGGGAGGCAGAGGTAAAGCCAGCTCAAAACAATAATTGTTTTCCTCCCCAACCTTATATTGAATTCCCATAAGGTGGGAAACCTTTGTTTCCTTCCCCCCAGTCGCCTGTGGAACTATTCAGCAGTCCAAGATGCAAGTTAGTATTAGGGATATGAATGGGTAAACACTTACCTGGGGGATGCTTATTGGGGGATGCTTAGCAATACTGGTTAACCAGTACCTGAGAGGAGCCCCCCGCCACAGACAGAGGTCTGCTCAAGCCCCACGGGAGTCAGGAGCCAGCCTAACCCGCATGCAGGGGAGCAAACAGCGGGAGCCTCACACATGATGGGGGGCGGTAGTGGCAGCTGGGACCCCCACATGTGGGGGGGAGGGGCTGCAGCAGCAGCCTGTTTAATCAGTTAACTGGTTAAATCTAAGATTTAACCAGTTAACTGATTAACTGGGACTTTACATCCCTAGTTAGTATCAGGTGACCTGACTCTCTAGCATCCATGGGTCAATAGTAGTGTGGTGTGTCCCCAAGAAGGCCAAGCCTGTTCACAGACCATTGTCCTAACTGAGGGCCAGCAGCTCTTTCTGGATTTCCTATTGTAGTCCCTGAAGTGTCAGCTGAGGGAGTGACCCAAGCAGCCAATATGAAATATAGACACACAGGTCAATATTCCTAACTTCAGGCACAGATGTGATACAGGCACACAAATGGAATAATCATATTCAGCAATTTGTAACCTTTTCAATGATACCTTATATGAGCCATCTTGCATAGAGTGTATCTCATTTATGTCATAGTCATATCATAAGCATATTTCATAACGCATATGGAGAGCCCCATCACAATAGGACTTTAGGTACCAGCTGTTTTGAGGATCTCAATGGCAGTTAGGCACTGAAATCCCATTATGTGTCTAGCTTGTTTCCATTCATTTCATTTCCAGCAGCTTCTGAAAATCCTCCCAAGTGCCTGTCTCCAATTTTAGGCAACTAAATACCTAAAAATCTAGCCCGTCTCCCTTTTGAGGGTTAAACCGTTTCTTGGGGTAGCATTTTTTTTATATTTAGTTAATTTATTTTATTTGATACTAGAGGAAGTAGATTTGTGCAGGATGGGGGCACTGGGTAAAAGTAAGTGCAAGAAATCATTCTACTTTTTTTAGTTACTAGTAATCATCCATGTATTATCAGGGGGGCAGGCTGTCTTAGCAGTTTGTTTCCTGGCAAGAAGAACCTTTCACCTCTAGGCTGCTAATTCAAAGTCAGGCCAATGGGAACTGGCTTTTGTTACTATCTGATGACATTTTGATATTATGAGTAACGTAAGTTGGGCTTCTGTTTCTCAGGGTTTAATAATTTCATTGTTAAGTATTTATTTTTAGTAATTTTTCAATTCTAGAGAGATGTCCAAAAATTGGAGATACACACACACACACACACACACACACACACACAGAGCTATTTGAAACAGTACTATGTTAGGGCAGGCTAGAGAACTTTTAGTGTGTGTCAACAGGTAGGTTATATACACAAAATATTAGTGCATTTTAGAAATCATACCCTGGGAATTTGCATTACTGCTCTGTGTAGAAAAGCCACTAGATACAAGCTAGAGAGCGTGGACATCACCTGTATAAATACAATACACTGTGAAAGGGAAATAGTAAGCATGAACTGAGTACACATTTCATTTAAACACTGATTTCATTTTTTTCTAATCGGGGATGTTCTATTGGGCTGTGTCTAGACTGCATCCCTTTTTCGTAAAAGGGATGCAAATTAGACATATCGCAATTGCAAATGAAGCGGGGATTTAAATCTCCCCCGCTTCGTTAGCATAAAAATGGCTGCCACTTTTTTCCGGTTTGGAGCTTTGCCGGAAAAAAGCGCCAGTCTAGACGCGGATCTTTCGGAAAATAAAGCCTCAGGGGTAAGGGATCTTTCAGAAAAGGCTTTATTTTCAGAAAGATCCGCGTCTAGACTGGCGCTTTTTTCCAGCGTCTAGACTGGTGCTTTTTTCCGGCAAAGCTCCGGAAAAAAGCGGCAGCCATTTTTATGCTAATTAAGTGGGGGGATTTAAATCACCGCTTCATTTGCAATTGCAATATGTCTAATTTGCATCCCTTTTACGAAAAAGGGATGCAGTCTAGACACAGCCTTGAAGTTTTATGAGTTAAAAACTGAAAAACAGAACCCTAAATACGAGTTCCCAGTGTAATTTGTGTCCATTGTACAGTGTAGATTGCAAGGACGTACGGCCTACCTTCTCCTCTCTAGAAATGGTCCTTCAAACACTAAAGTGCAGGATACTGGTAAGGCTGGTTGCAGTTACACATGTTCTCTCAGCAGATTTCAGTCTCCCAGGCTGCCAGTCTGACACTTTCCACCAGCACGACTTTTATTTCCACCCTTGCTGTTTGGCTGCCACTTACAGAATTTACCTACGCCCATGTCACAATGTATCATTGTCATGCCCTAGCTAAACACAGGCCTCTCCTGCAATGCCCTGAGCAACAGGCCTGTAGGGGCAGAATCAGAGCCCCGATAGGAGAGCAATTCCAACATTCTGAGGCCAGAAGGGACCATTAGGATAATCTAGGCTGATCTCCTCTATTGCATAGGCCATAGAACTTTCTTCCCAAATAATTTCTAGAGTAGATATTCTAGGAAAACCTCTACTCTTGGTTTTAAAATTACCAGTAATGATGAATACTCATGGGGAATCAGCTTAAAAGCCAGCTTCTCACAGGCACCAGCTCCCACTTCCCTCCCTTGCTGCTTCTGATAGGGTATGTCTACACTAGCCACTCTAGTTCGAACTAGGGTGGCTAATGTAGTCAATTGAACTTGCAAATGAAGCCCAGGATTAAAATATCCCAGGCTTTATTTGCATGTTCCCAGGCGCCGCCATTCTTAAATGCCCGGTAGTTCGGACTCCCTGCTTGCGGCTACACGCAGCACGGACTAAGTAGTTCGAATTAAAGCTCCTAATTTGAACTACCGTTACTCCTCATTGCAGGGAGTCCGAACTACCGGGCATTTAAGAATGGCGGCGCCTGGGAACATGCAAATAAAGCCTGGGATATTTTAATCCTGGGCTTCATTTGCAAGTTCAATTGACTACATTAGCCACCCTAGTTCGAACTAGAGTGGCTAGTGTAGACATACCCTATCAGAAGCAGCAAGGGAGGGAAGTGGGAGCTGGTGCCTGTGAGAAGCTGGCTTTTAAGCTGATTCCCCATGAGTATTCATCATTACTGGTAATTTTAAAACCAAGAGTAGAGGTTTTCCTAGAATATCTACTCTAGAAATTATTTGGGAAGAAAGTTCTATGGCCTATGCAATAGAGGAGATCAGCCTAGATTATCCTAATGGTCCCTTCTGGCCTCAGAATGTTGGAATTGCTCTCCTATCGGGGCTCTGATTCTGCCCCTACAGGCCTGTTGCTCAGGGCATTGCAGGAGAGGCCTGTGTTTAGCTAGGGCATGACAATGATACATTGTGACATGGGCGTAGGTAAATTCTGTAAGTGGCAGCCAAACAGCAAGGGTGGAAATAAAAGTCGTGCTGGTGGAAAGTGTCAGACTGGCAGCCTGGGAGACTGAAATCTGCTGAGAGAACATGTGTAACTGCAACCAGCCTTACCAGTATCCTGCACTTTAGTGTTTGAAGGACCATTTCTAGAGAGGAGAAGGTAGGCCGTACGTCCTTGCAATCTACACTGTACAATGGACACAAATTACACTGGGAACTCGTATTTAGGGTTCTGTTTTTCAGTTTTTAACTCATAAAACTTCAAGGCTGTGTCTAGACTGCATCCCTTTTTCGTAAAAGGGATGCAAATTAGACATATTGCAATTGCAAATGAAGCGGTGATTTAAATCCCCCCACTTAATTAGCATAAAAATGGCTGCCGCTTTTTTCCGGAGCTTTGCCGGAAAAAAGCACCAGTCTAGACAACTAGATACAAATTTAATCACTAGCAGAACTTAAAATTATCGATAAGGTGAACTGATTTCGAAAGAACATGGTTTTCAAAGAAGAATAAATAAATTAAAACTAAATAAATATTTAGCTACCAGATTGCAGAAAATATCTCAAAAGTAAGTGACATGTTATTGCATATACAGGCAGTCCCCGACTTACGCGGATCCGACTTACGTCGGATCCGCACTTACGAACGGGGCTTTCTCGCTGCTCCGGTGCCAGCAGAGTTGCTCTGCCCCGGGCTTCCTGGAATCAGCTGCTGATCAGTTTCAGCAGCAGCTGACTTGGGGACGCCTGGGGTTCTTAAGTTGATTCTGTATGTAAGTCAGAACTGGCGGTCAGTTTCAGCAGTGTCTGAATCTGGACGCCAGTTCCGACTTACATACAGATTCAACTTAAGAACAAACCTACAGTCCCTATCTTGTACGTAACCCGGGGACTGCCTGTACATTTACATTTAGCCATATTAAGCACATATTGTTAACTTGTGCCTCGTATCCCAAGATTCTGGCTGCTCTGAATCTCTAACCTGTCCTGTTCATTATCAGTTCCCCCAATTTTACCCCAGCAAAGTCATTGGCAAACTTAATCAGCAATGATTTTTTGGTTTTTTTCCTGGCGACTGATAAAAATTATAAATAGTCCAAGGCCCGGTCCCTGCAGAACTGCATTGGAAAAAGATGCATTTGGTGATAATTCCCCCTTTGCAATTACATTTTAAGACCTATCAGTTAGCCAGCTGATAATCCACTTAGTGTGTGCCATGTCAACATTATGTTGTTTCACTTTTGTAATTAAAATGTTCTGCAGCACCAAGGCAAAGGCTTTACAGAAGTCTAAGTAAATTAGTCCACACTATTGCCCTTATAACCAAACTTATCTCATAAAAAAAGTTATCAAGTCAGTCGGATATGATCTACGTTCCATAAATCCATGTTGATTTGCATTAATTTAATTCTTTATAAATCAAATCCAGTATCAATTATTCCCTTATTTTACCTGGGACAGATGTCAGGCTCACAGGCCTGTAATTACCCAGATTGATCCATTTATCCTTATTAAGAACTGGCACAGCATTAGCTTTCTTTCAGTCTTCTGGTACTTCCCCAGTACATCAAGTCTTATGGAAAATCAGCATTGATGGACCCCCGTGGTCTTCAGCCAGCTCTTTTAAAACTCTTGGATGCAAACTATCCAGATCTGCTGATTTAATAATGTCTAATGTTAATAGCTTCTGTTTAACATTCTTCTCAGATTTTAGTAAAATTGAGAAAGTGTTATCACCACATGATGAGACTACATCAGCTGTTTTTCCTCAAACCCAGAACAGAAATATGTATTAAATAATTTTGCCTTTTCTGCATTATTATTGATAATTCTGTCTTTTCCACCTAGGAATGAACCAATAACATTTGTCAAGATTCTTTTAATTCCTAATATTTTTTAAATGCCCTATTATCTTTACCTCTATTGGCCACAGATTTCTCCATGTGTCCCTTGGTTTCTCTTCTCAATTTTCTTCAGTTCCTAACTTCTGATTGATATTCGTAACTGTCAGCTTCCCTTTCTTCCATTTGGTATCTCTGTGTGTATTTTATTTTTTACCGCTGCCATCACTTCCCCTCTGTAACTCAGATTGTTTTTTTAACTTGCACAGCCTCCGTTGTTGGATTGTGGCTTTGGGGGCACCTAGTCAGGTGTTCTTAAATTATTCCCAATTATCATTCATATTTCTCTGATTAAATTCTTCATCCCACTGATTTCACTCACAATTGTTTTCAGCCTTGTGATATTGGCCCTTAAAGCTGTCTGGGTGTGTCTGGGCATATGATCTAGATTTATTCTCCGTGCACAATATAAATGTGATCAAGTCATGGTTATGGCTGCGAGTTTCCCACAGAGGCCATGGAAGCCATGGGTCCTGTGACTCTCTGGGATCTCTCTGACTTTTGCTGTTGCCAGTGTGGATGGCCTGGGGGTCACCAGAGCATCTCAGGCAGCTCCTGGATCAGCTGTACCAGCCGCTGCTGGGGAGATCTCAGGCCACTGTGCCTTCCTCTCCCAGGAGCAGAAGGAATTTGTTGGGGAAGCACGAGGCTGGGATTTGGGATGCAGGAGGGAGTTCTAGGCAGTGCTTTCCTTAGGGGGCTCCCAAAAAGTGGCAACATGTTCAAGCTTCTAGGTGGAGGTCAGGCCAGGCAGCTTCACATACTGCCTCTATGCACAGGTGCCGCCGCTGCAGGTCCCATTTCTTGTAGTTCCTGGCTAATGAGAGCTGCAGAGCAGGTGCTTGGGGCAGAGGCAGTGTGCAGAGCCCCCTGGCTGCACCTCTCCCTACATGCCAAGGGACATGTTGCCACTTGCAGGGAGCATGTGGTCCCTTGCAGAACCAGGGAGGGAGCCTGCCAGCCCCACCAACCCCTCTACTCCTAGCACTAGCAGGAGTCCTGGGCTGCTCCCCCTAGAGCACTGGCAGCACACGCCCGAGGAGGTACCCCACTTGAACACTAACAGCACCCTGCAGGCATCCCATCCCAGCACCTGTGGCACCCCCAAGCTCTGCCCCCAAGATTTAATCAGGGATCATGGATATTTGTTTACTGCCTATGACCTGCATCAAAGGTTCATCCAGCCCAGTATCCTGCCTGCCAACACTGGCCAATGCCAGGTGCCCCAGAGGGAGAGATCACAACAGGTAATCCTCACGTGATCCCTCCCGTCACCCCTCTCCAGAGAAACAGAGGCCAGGGACACTGTTCCTACCCATCCTGGCTAATAGCCATCGATGGACCTAACCTGCATGAATCTATCTAGCTCTTTTTTTAACCCTGTTAAAGTCCTAGACTTTAGCACATCCTCTTGCAAGGAGTTCCATGATTTTTACTACAAATACCTGTGACTAAAACGTAGCCTTAGTCATTACCACGTGTACCTAAGTGACCCTTATCTTTTAATTTGGTGATCAGTCCTTGTTTATCTGTTAGGACAAGGTGTAACATAGAATTCCCCTGTGTTGGCTGTAGCGTTTTTTGGATTAGGAAATTAGAGGATACTGAGAGAGATAGGATAGGTATCTCTCAGAACTGTATACAGTATAAATCACCCTAGTATTTGACCTTAGCACGTTTTGTAATTTCTCAGCTCATAAAGGAAGTTTGTAGGAGCCTCTTCCCCAGCAAGATTCTGGTGCATGCATTCGAATGTTTAACCAGAATACTCTGTGTCTTGCAGGTGCCAGTCTCTAACTGCAGCACGGAGTGTCTCCCAGGTACCAGAAAAGGTATCATGGAGGGAGAGCCCACCTGTTGCTTTCAGTGCGTGAACTGCTCCGACGGGGAATACAATGATGAAACAGGTAAAAGAGAAAAAAAGGAGTGTGGTTTGCAAAGATTCCTGTGAGTGCCCCCCAATGGATCCTTTTTGTAAGTGCAATTAATTGGTAGCCATTGTTCTGGTCTGTGGAATAATGCGGTGCCAAAGGAGCAGAGAGCATTTCCCTTGGCACGTCCTGTGAGAGACCGTCACATGGGAAAGATGCATGAAGAATGATGAGCTCACTTTAAAGTGAATTTATGCTGGTGAATGCTGCCAGATTCATAAACCTGAAGAATGAACGTCTCAGTCTTCCCCAGAATAGGTACAGCACACACAGCAGCCTCACTTCAGACTGCCCCCAGGCACTCCCACTGGGCTTCACTGGGGCCTTCACTAAAGGGCAGAGGGGGATTCAGTTTCCATGGCCTATTCATTTCCTAACCTCTGCTAAAATAACTGCCCTCAGCCCCCCTGTATCAGAGGCAGCAGCATGAGGGGGCCAGGCAGGAGCTATGGCTTGCAGAAAGGCTGCCTGTCACCCCGCGCTGCTGCTTCTGATACAGACCCAGCATGAGCCAGAACTGAACCGGGCTGCCTGCCTGCCTGGCTCCTAATGCACTTTAATTGCAGAGCTGCCGTGGGAGTAGGTCCTGGGGCTGGCACGAACCAGGACTGAACTGGGCTGCTGGCCAGTCTGCTAAAAAATTTCCTGGCAAGCAGCAGGAGGGAAATGCGTATAGTTTATAACATTAACTTATAAGCTTTCGCTAATCGGTTAATCAACAATACAATTACATCCCTAGTTAGGGTTCCTAAGAAAGAGAGATGAGACAGAAATTGCTCAATGGCACCCAGGAAGCCCCCAGAAGAGCCAAGAATAGAATCCAGGAATCTGACATCAGTATTCCTACTACACCGCGGCCATACCCTGTGGTTCCCCAACAGGCTGTAGGTGAAATGCTCCATAACTCAATTCCAATTTGCATCCAACTTTTAATTTTTCCGTTTCCAGGATTTTATTCCCCATTTTATGAGGAAATAAAGTCCATTCTCTAGAGCATCCACTGTCATCAGACAATCCTGTATTCACCCTGCATAGATGAACATTTCCCTTAATTGAATCAGCTTCCATAGTTTCTGCAGGAAATTAATAAAGCAGATTGATATGACCTGTGGGCGCAATTCAACTCCTATTGAAGTGAGAGTTTGATTAAACCACACCATTCCACTATAGAGGGAAAATGTAATAAGAGTTTTAGAGCAAATTGTAATTTTTTGAATTTCCAATGCCTCTGTCAGACTGCTGCCTCAGGGTTGGACATCTCGGAAAATTAAAGCAAATTATTGTGTCAGCATATTTCTGCATCCAAAATCATGCTACACTCCAAAGTGCAGCCATTACTAAAATGAAAGTTTCAACAAGCTCTCAGCAGTATTTAAAATGTGCTGCCATGTGTATGAATCACATTTTCAAAATATCAGTTACCATTCTTTAAATACGGGTATATGGTACCATAAGTTTCTTGATTCAAATACTATAAGAAATATCTCTTCTTTATTACTATAATACTATCTCTTATTTTGAATAAGACTGCGGTTCTGACCTCTTTAAAGATCTGAAATAAAGAGCCCCTGCTACTTTCCCCAAGATTTCGGGAGCTGTTCCTGCTGCCCTAGTAAAATTTCAACCTGGGTGATTTAATTCTGCCTTTCTAAATCGTTTCTACTATTTCAGTTGGATAAATTACTCTTTTTCATTTCCTGTGCTTTACTGTTTTATGGTTTTGTTCTCATAGTTAAATTGCTGCCTTTCTTCAAAGGTGATATCAGGACCAAGCCATGCGCAGCCCATGCATACCATGCTAGTTACCACCTTGTGGTCAGGAGACAAGTGGTAGTTTTAGGCTATGTCTAGGTGTGTGAATCACATTCTCAAAATATCAGTTACCATTCTTTAAATGCGGGTATATGGTACCATAAGTTTTTTTATTCAAATACTATAAGAAATACTATAAGAAACAACTCTTTCGCAAAAAGACATGTGTGGATGCAGAAGAGAGTCTTTTTTTCAGAAAATGATGGAAGAGGAAAAAGCAAAGGTGCCCTGCTGGCCAATCTGTCCATAAAAATCACTGCTTACATGCGAGATAGCATCCAGACTGCCTGGATGCTATCTTTCGAAAAAGCGCATTGCTTTTTTGATGTGCTTTGGCAGTGTAGATCTTTTCCAAAAAAGGTTCTTGCGCAAGAAGCCTTTAGTGTAGACGTAGCCTTAGTGTTGAGGAGGGCCTATTTGCCCGGTACTGAGATTAGTTTCATTGGCATGTAATTGCCAGGATCACTTCTGGAGCCTTTTTAAAAACTGGCATTGCATTAACTCTCCTCCAGCCATTTGGTACAGAAGCTGATTTAAAGAATAGGTTACAAACCACAGTTTTCTGTTTTGCCTGGTAGAGGCAGTGATGGTGTTCAGTCATGGAAAAGGTTCTCACTACAGGGCTTCTGAAAGGAAATATAAAGTGTCAACCATGAGCCTTGGTCTGAAACTACGTGGTCTGGAAGTCCATGGAAACAAACCACATTTTGTGCCAAGAGATGGGAAGTAATCTTGGCGAAAGACAGGGGTTGCAAGGATGAAATTGGCCATTTTAGTCAGATGGTCTACAGCACTGAAGCTCCTTGGAGACAAACCACATTTTGTGCCAGGAGATGGGAAGTAGTCTCAGCAAAAGGCAGGGGTTGCAAGGATGAAATTGGCCATTTTAGTCAGATGGTCTACAGCCATCAGACACTGGGAGCTCCTCAATGATGTTTAGGCTGATGGCCAAAGAAGGCCTAGTTGGACTCTGGGGTTATGAAGCAATTGAAGGATTCCATTCAAAACATCTTGGTAAATACACAACGCTTGCAGAAGTCCAGAAAAGCTTGGATTTTCAGACTGACTGCAGGGCCACCTGAAAAAATGGGCAACCATGAAGGACAATTTAAGATTCCAAAGCGATCCACCAGTTGTGACATTGACAACACTCTGGCATGGTCATAGCACCTCCACTTGGGGTGCTCCATAGGGACATATATGCACTTGCCAAAGTATGTTATCCCATCTCTCACAGAACAGTACTTAGCCCACAATGACACAGATCGTGTTCCTTGGGTGGGTGGATCTTTCCAGGCAGAATGGAGGGGGGAGACCAGGTCATGCTGAATTGTGACATTGACAACATTATTAGGCTTCAGTTGGTAGGAAGGGTCTCAGAAGTAGGTTCCTTGTTCTCCTAGTAGGCTCTCCTGTTCCGCAGTAGAGCATTGCCTGTCCCATTTCAGTTTCCCAGGTGGCAGGTAATTATAAACTCACACTCAGAGAAAGAGAATAGCCCACCTTAACTGCTTCTGAATCAAAGCTTGGGCCTTCTAGAAGTACTCAAGGTTCTTATGGTAAGTTAAAAATCAATACTGGATGCCAAGCTCTCTCAAGATGGCGATGCCAATCTTCAAATGCAGTTTGGATTGAGATGAGCTAGGTGTCCAGTATTCCATAGTTCATCTCAGCAGGGACGAGTTCTTGAGAATAGAATGCACAAGGGTGCAGAACTGATTGGGCTCCAACTCCCGGCAAGAGAGCTGTCCCGACGGTCATGTTGGACATATCCTTCACCACCAGGAGCCACACAGGTCACGTCACTCCAGCCAAAGAATGCCAACAATTATTGGGAAGAATGGAGAGTGGATCCCATTAAAGTATATTGGTTCCGATGCCCTTCTACTATAAACATTAAGGAAATGGTCTCTTGGGTCACCAGACCTATAAAGTTGACAATGCCATCTATCTTCACCACTTGTGATGGGATTTGCTGTACCTGCCCAAAGACCCACAACCTGGGAAGCAGATAGAAATGCAGAGACCCCCTGGTTCCTAGGTCAGGTTCTACTTGAGAGGAGAGGGAGGTTCTAGAGCCCGGAGCTCTGGTGATGCCCAGACTGTACCCCCTACCAGGCCTGGATCGGTCCATTTCCCAAGCTCTTTGGAGCTGGACAGAAGAGATCTGAGACCTTATGTTGTGCATGATTAAAACAACATATAGAAGAGCTCAGCTAGTCAGGGTTCCCTTTCCCTGCCATTCTAAAGTGAGAGCTTTAAGGCTTTGGGGAAATCAAGAGCACTGATTGTCTGCTTAAGATGAACAGTTTAAAAGCATCCAAGATTTACCTCCTTAGGATGTGAAGTGGGATTCCAGTGCAGCTAAAGAAGCTAGCATATTCTTTTGATTTCCATCATTTGTCATCAAGTCAGCCAGAGTGACTCAGATACCACCGTGATGACGGAGGAGGTAGGTATGTGAGGTGAGAAGATAGAAATTCAGAGGGAGAGAGTAAAGAGAGAGGTACATAGTGAAGACAACAAGAAACACAAAACTGTCTAGCAGATACTACATATTCTAAAATGATTCCACGGAATTGGTCTGGAAAGCCAGAGTGCAGCTCCAAAACTATAAAGTGTGGCTTAGAAATAGCCTTCTTCTTTAATACAGACCCATGGCTCCTGAGAGACAAATAGCCTTCTTCTTTAATACAGACCCATGCATGGCTCCTGAGAGGGCAGTGGTCCCCAACGCGGTGCCCACAGGCACCATGGGCCCGCCGGGCCATTTATGTGCGCCTGAAGAGCAATCTGGGCTGGCCCCGCTCCCGGGTGTGCGGCAGGTGCCAGTCCCGGGCACATGGGGAGACACTGCCCCGGGGTCGCAGCACATGCTGGTGCCGGCCCTGCCCCCGGGTGCGCGACACATGCTGGTGCCGGCCCCGGGCGCATAGTGCCTGGGCAGCCCCTGCCTGGGGTCACGGCACATGCCAGTGCCGGCCCCAGGCGTGCGGCGCATGCTTGGCCCTTCCCCCAGGCCCGTGAGCGGCCCTGCCCCCAGGCGCCTGGCAGCCCCAAAATGTTGGGGACCACTGGACTAGAGGTCCCATCATGCAATGTTCCTTTTTGATCCAAGCATGCAGAGCATTTCTTATAGGAAGCACTTCTATATTTAGTATGGAAGGGCTAAACATTGCTCCATTTTATTTAGGGTGGCCATCTAGTCTAACAAACTGTTCACTCCGTCCTATTTATTTTGCAGATGCGAGTGCTTGTGCCAAGTGCCCTGAGGATTTCTGGTCCAATGAAAACCACACCTCTTGCATTCCGAAGCAAATCGAGTTCCTGTCCTGGACTGAGCCTTTTGGAATAGCTCTGACTCTCTTTGCTGTGCTTGGAATTTTCCTGACCTCATTTGTTCTGGGGGTCTTCACCAAATTCCACAACACACCCATTGTCAAGGCCACCAACCGCGAGTTGTCCTACCTCCTCCTGTTCTCCCTGCTGTGCTGCTTCTGCAGCTCCCTGTTCTTCATTGGCAAGCCCCAGGACTGGACTTGCCGCTTGCGACAGCCAGCCTTTGGCATCAGCTTTGTCCTCTGCATCTCCTGCATCCTGGTAAAGACAAATCGTGTCCTGCTGGTTTTTGAAGCCAAGATCCCTACAAGCCTCCAACTGATCAGTTTCAGCAGCGGCTGAATCTGGACGCCAGTTCCGACTTACATACAGATTCAACTTAAGAACAAACCTAAAGTCCCTATATTGTACGTAACCCAGGGACTGCCTGTAGCAGCCAGGGCCACGCTGAGACGGAGCAACGTGTCACGCAAGAGGTCTAACAGTCTGGGTGGTTCCACAGGCTCTACCCCCTCATCCTCCATCAGTAGCAAGAGCAACTATGAAGACCCCTGCTCTCTGCCGACGTCCACGGAGCGGCAGCAGCAGAAGCGCGGATGCAAGCAAAAAGTCATCTTTGGAAGTGGGACTGTCACTCTCTCATTGAGCTTTGAGGAGCCCCAGAAGAACTCTGTGGCCAGCAAGAATTCCAAGTGCAGAAACTCCTTAGAAGTCCAAAACAGTGATGACAGCCTGATGCGGCACAGGGCCCTGCTTCCCCTACAGAACAGTGAACCCCTAGGTGTGGAGCCTGGCTTCCAGGCACCTTCAAGCCAAGAAACCAGCGTACAGGAGTCAGGAGTGGGAGAAACCAAACAAGAGGAGCAAAGCCCAGAAGAGCCACCTCTGCCATCAGCAAATTCCCAGAATTTTATCGGTAGCGGCAGTGGTTCGGTCATAGAGAACACAATACATTTTTAACAAACAAAAATGATAAAATCCACCACTGTTCCCCAGGGAAACCAGCACACCTTCTTGCTTCTTGGAGAAAGACACCAACGACACGGCTCAGATGTAGCCTCAACACCTTCTTGCTAATAAAGGCAAAGAGACACTCACCACCAAAGGACACACAGGAGGCAGACTGTCAGAGGCTACATCTAGGAACCATTGTACTGACACTGTGTTTGGTTTAAAGAAATCAGGATCCTGACATCTTGAAAGGACAAGTGAAAATCTTCCCCCAGCTGGGATTTGTCTACTGCCTTGCCATTGTCGGTCCTGCCTGCCAGACTGCAGCTCAGTGGGTGTAGCTAGGGGGTTAGGCAATTTCATTTTACTCTGCTTTTATGCTGATGTATAAAACCCCTCTTCCCCACTGTGTATAATAGTCCCTCTGTAGACTACATGTGAGATCTCTAACCATGTTAAGACCAAGGAAAGGACTCGGCTTTACTAAAACAGGATTTGCAGTTTGACCTGAGGAAAGGGGTCCTTTAAAAATACAACAAATAAAGACATAAATATTCCGAATGCGTGGCATAGCCAACAGTCTGAACATGTAAAGTATTTAATAGGACAGGCTATTTATATAAGATGTTCCAACCCCTGCTTCCCATGGCTGCCAGTGTGAGCGGTAGTGAATGCCGGACAGTGTTCTTCATAGACATCAGTGCATTAGATCAAGTCACAAGTGTCCTGTTGGTCTGTTCCAGTTAACACGTCACCTCCAAGCTGCCTTTTTTGGTGGAAAGGGGTGACAGCTTGCTCCTGGGGCAGAATGTTGTGAGAGCTCAGTGAGATGTATCCATGAGTTACTAGATCGCTATGCTCAATGAAGTGTCTCTCGCGCTCTCACACACTCTCACAAACACACACACACACACACTCATTCACAGTCCCACATTCACACAGTCACACTCACATACACACTCACTCACACAACAAACACTCACACACATACCACACTCACTCATATACACTCACTTACTCAAGCTAGTCAAGATGGGGAAACTGCCCCTCAAAAGTGTGCATGTTTGGGGATAGCTAAAGGAAAAATGAGCATTTGAGGGGCATACATAGACAAAAGGCTAGGTGGAGTATAATGGAAATGCATATGGGCAACCAGATGATTTGGGTTTTGTGCCAATTGAATATTTTGGAGCAACAAGGCTTTTGGAGGATTTATATAGTTGATGAGCCAGGGCAAGTGGCAAGTGTGGTCCATTTTGAAGGGGTGTCTGGTACGTGATGTGTCTCCTTTATCTGAAAGAGAAGCTTTAGGGTGTGGGAGGGGAGCAGAAAGACTTCTAAAGACACTCTCTTTAACGGTCTTCTCAAGGTTGACCCAATTGCCACAGATTATTCATAAGACATGCCCATTTCTCTCCCACCCACTTTGAGAATAACTGAAATGAACTTGCATGTCCAGGGGTCAAAGAATCCGTGTTACTGTCTGACACACGGGTGACAATGGCGTTACATGAGGGATTTAGTGCTACATAGATTCCAAGGCCAGAAGAGACCACTGTGATCATCTAGTCTGACCTCCTGCATAATGTAATTCACAGAACTTCCCCCAAATAGTTCCTAGAGTACATCATTAGGAAAACATCCACTTAAAAGTTTAGACCCCTTTTTGCAACAGTTATCAGCCTGTGGGAATCTGGTTTAATCTTCTCTCAAAATACAATAAAATGCTCTTAGTCACTGCAGCAATACAAGATGGCCTTAGTCTTACTTGAACGGAGACAAACAAAGGTCTGTGGAAATGCGCTGGAAAAAACATTGCTATTGTTGTTGTTTGGTTGTCGTTTTGTTTTTTGTTTTGTTTTGTCAGGGCAGGAAAATAAAACTTCCCGGTGATATTGCCATGCAAGGGCTTGCTTTACAATCTGCACTGTTAGCTGAGGTGGAATATTGTGGGGAACAAAAGGGTAGTCAGAATTTGTAGAGATGCTTTTTCAAGCTACGGATTAATTAACCTTTTCTTTGCTGTGTGTCCATATGCCTGCGACTGGCAGAGCTTCTGCCTCTGTGTAGAAAAACACCAGCAAATTAAGTAAAATAACCATCATATTAAAATGACATTTGAGGAAAAACAAGGAAATAGCAGGGAGAAAACTTAAAAATACACATCATGGTACAATTTTTAAAAATAGCCTCTGCCATTGAAGCCAGTGGGAGCTTCGGGTACTCATAGCTTCTAAAAATTAGGCTATATAGAAGTGCTTATATGTGTGTTTAGGAGCCCAACTTTAGGCACCCAATTTTGAAAATCTTGGTTCTTGGGCTTTAATTGAGTGAAAAGAAATGGCCACTAGATGGCAGACGTAGCTAAAGAATAAGACAAGTGGATTCCAGCCAATACATGAGAATTAGTTCAAAAGATGGTCTACAAAGTGGTAACCCTCCCTGTGACTCCCCTGGCAGAGTCAGTCCTGCTGACTGCATTAAATGGCACAAATCCACAGAGTCATGGGCCAAGCCCCAGCTGCACCCAGTGAGGGAAAATAAAGTATAAACAGGAAAACAAACACAAACACATATCTCCGCACATACTGCAGGCAGGAGAATTGGAAAGTAACTTAGGGCTCCTTTCTGTCAAGATTCCTCATTTAACAGGCTGAAACAAGTGGGTTTGTTTCCCGTGGATAATTTCATGTTTATTTCCAAGTTTGGGGGGTTTATAAATTATTTATATTTACAAAAAGTGTGGTCCTGGTCTGAAAAGTGACTTTGCTATCACGAGGCCCTGTGGTGGGTCAGTTACCCCTCCCTACCCCCTCTAGGTCAGAGGGAGGTGACACTGCCTCACTGTGGCACTGCACTGCTAGGAGAATTAGAAGGCTAGGCACAGGGTCCCAGGCTTAGCTCCCAGCAGCCAATAGCTCCTCGGCCCATGGAGCCAGTAAGCAGATGAGGCGCTCTAACCACAGGGAGGGGAGCCCTGGCAAAGAGCCTGTAGTGCTCCGGTAGGGAGGCTGCCATCCCAGGGGAAGGTGGCAGAGACAGGGGAATGCAGGCCCGCCCAGCTCCGTTACGTTCAAGCCCAGGGCCCCTAACAGCGGCTGAGTGTCCTACGACTGGGTGAGCGGGACTCTTCCCCCAATACTGTCCCACTGTCAAGCCACAAACCATTTAACAAAATCCCTTAGGTGGCTTCCTTCCCGGGCTCTGGATCAGGTTCCTCCAGGTATTTGGCCACCCGTAGTCCCACCAGCTCTGGTCCTCCTGCGCCCCAGGCCTCACCAGCTCCAGGATGCTTCCTAGCTCAGCAGTAGGTCAGCGGACTGCAGCCAACAGGGCACGTCTGTCTCCTTCCCTTGTTCGGCTCCCATTGAGCTAGGTACTCTGCCTTTTGTACTCCTGCTCCACTTCCAGCGGGCAGGGTGAGCTCAGCCTGGCTCCGCTCAGCTGAGCTGGGCGTGTGGCTCTTCCCCCTCTGGCTTACAGGGAGGCCACACTGCCTCTCTACAGGCCCCAAGGGGTCACCAGGGACTCCAGATCAAATGTCGTTAGTTTGTAGGTAAAGAAATTGTGGGAAGGATGATTCCAATTGTCACCAGAACACATTTATCTTGGGCTTTGGGAGTCGTCCTGGGCTCTGTCTTTGTGCAGCTTTGCCAGCAACTCTGAGCTAGTACAGTAGGTGCAGTTTTGGTGCAACAGAAGTCCAGCCATTCAAGCTGTGTCACCAGCCACAATCATAAGCTCTTCACCTGGCATCTCCAAGATGGGGGGGAAGCTGTGATAGGCCCTGTGTCTAAAAACACCTGGCAGCACACACAGGTCGCTAAACCTAAAATCAACTTGGACACCCAGCAGTGTCTTGCTGCCAAAAATCTAAGCCAAACATCCACCATGGTGGCTGGAGCAGTCCCTCCTGGTAGCTTCGAGAGGATATAAACCCTGCTACAGTCCTGTGGCTGTGTGTGGGGTCTGCCTGTGGAGATGCAGTAAAAGAGGAGACAGAGAATGTTAACTTTGTATTTGAATTCTGGTATATCTGACTGGTGTTCTGGGAACAGTTCCAAGGAAAGACAGTCATCTGATCCACTGTCCTCTCTCATTCTGACCCCAGTGAAGCCCCTTCCATGCAGAGCCCCAACAAAGGTGTATCTGGGGTTCTCAGAGAGGCACAAGATGATGCTTCCAAAGTGAGATTCTTCCCCACATTTTACATTTCTCTTAGGAGTCTCTGGAGTAGAGTTACTGTCTCCTCCCCACCTGCATAATGAGTGGAAGGCCAAATTAGTTCACCAATCCCAGCGTGACGGTGAGTGTTACAAAATTAAGTAAGGGGAACCGGGGGAATTTATTTAAAGTTATAATTCTGTACAGGGCTGGTTAGGAAATTCAGACTGGGGAATGATGAGACATTTTGAGTGTAGGCAGAGGCCCTAGAAAGAATCAGAACAGTAATACTGGGTCAGATGAATGGACCATCTAGCCCAGTATCCTGCCTTGTGGCCAGTGCCTGATGCTTCAGAGGGAATGAATAAAACAAGGTAATTATTGAGTGATCTGCCTTCAGTGTCCAGTCCCAGCTTCCAGCCATCAGACACTGAGGGACACCCAGGGCACAAGGTTTTGTCCCTGACTAGGTTAGCTAATAGCCACTGAGGGATTTTCACTCCAAAATATCTAATTCTTTCTTTAACCAAATTGTACTTTCAGCCTTCACAACATACCCTGGCAATGAGTTCCACAGGTTTACTGAGTGTGGAATGAAGAAATACTTCCTTTTATTTGTTTAAATCCTGCTGCCTATTCATTTCATTGGGGATCCCTGGTTCCTGTGTTGTGTGAAGGGATAAATAATTCTCCCCTATTCATTTTCTCCACACTAATCTTGATTTTATAGACCTCTATCATATAGCCCATCTCTTTTAGATGTAGTCTCTTTTCTAAACTAAATAATCCCGGCCTTTTTAATCTCATGTGGAAGCTGTTCTTTCTCTGTACTTTTTCTAATTCTAATACATTTTTTTGGATGGAGTGACCAAAACTGTATGCAGTATTCAAGGTGTGGGCGTAGTAGCATAGATTTATAGAGTGGCATTATCATATTTTCTGTTTTAGCTGGCCCTTCCCTAATGGTTCCTAATATTTTGTTATCTTTTTGACTGTTGCTGCCCACTGAGCAGATGTTTTAAAGGAACTATTCATGATGAATCGAAGACCTCTTTCTTCAGTGGTAACAGCTAATTTAGATCCCCCTTATTTTGTATGTTTAGTCGGGATTTTTGCCAGTCTCAATGACTTTGCATTTATCAACATTGAATTTTATCTGTCATTTTGTTGCCCCGCTACAGAGTTTTATGAGTTCCCTTTGTAACTCTTTCCAGCCAGCTTTGGACTTAACTATCTTGAGTAATTTTGTATTAAATGTAAACATTGTCATCTCAATGTTTACAGTCCTTTTCTAGATCATTTATGAATATGTTGAACAGCACAAGTTTGTACAGATCTTTGGTGGACCCCAATTGTTACCTCTTCCCATTGTGAAAACTGACTATTTAATCCTACCCTTTGTTTCCTGTCTTTTAACCAGTTATCAATCCATGAGAGGACATTCCTTCTTATCCCATGACAACTTACTTTGTTTACGAGCCTTTGATGAGGGACCTTGTCAAAGGCTTTCTGGAAATCTAAGTATAGTATATCCTCTGGATCCCCCTTGTCCACATGTTTGTTGATCTCCCTCAAAGAACTCTAGTAGATTAGTACGGCATGATTTCCCTTTATAGAAACCATTTGGCTCTTCCCCAATATATCGTGCTCATCTATGTATCTGACAATTCTGTTCTTTATTGTAATTTCAATCAGTTTTTCTGGTACTAAAATGAGGCCTGCTAGCCTGCAATTGCCAAGACTGTCTGTGATAAAACTGAATAGGGCTTTTTCACTTGGCCTGTTTCTCTTTGTGGTTTAAAGTAAAAGGTTCGGAAATGTGGCTAGTCCCAGGGAGGCGCAGAAACAGGCAAACTATTACCAAATATCTTTTAAACTTTTATTAAAGGGCTTCTACGTATAAATTATTATTTTATCAATTTCTTACATACGCAGGCACCAAATAATTATTAGAATGACCAATAAGCAAAATGCAATACAGTAAAGAAAATTTCTTGAGGTTTCTCTAAATCCCAATAGTTGTTAACAAGGGACCAGGGATTATTAACAGTTACATTTACATCAGTCTTTCTTACAAGACTAATCATTTATCTAAAACTTTTAACACTACTACTTAACAATACCTCTAAACAATTTCAGATAACAATATTACATTTAACAGACACACAAACTACAACAACAACAACAACATATTTGGTATACGTTACGCTCTACAGGAACTCGTTTGGTTCGGTGAGCGGGAGGTGGCCCTCGGGTGATCAGTCCTCGGACCTGGCTCATATTCTGCCATCCAATGTTTATTCGGGATTCCTCAATTTGATATAGGAAGGGTAGCTGTTTTATAGAGAGCTTTTGCGCACTTTTTGTCATAGGCTAGCAGATCCTGTCTGTTAAGTGACAGGAGTAAGGGAGTGAGATGATTTCCTGTTTTTCCTTTTCTGCCTCATCGGGCATGGCACAGTCAGCACAACCAGCATGAACTTTACATGAACTTTTTAGGTCTGGTTTTGGTTCCTGTTCATCGCTGACCTTTAAGTTACATAGTGTAAGGGTTTTCATCAAGGGGAAGTTGACCTTTTGCTTGGATGGCAATACGCGCGAGAGGCCTGGCCAGCAAAGAGCCTGCTTTCACACTCTTCAGTTCCTATGTATACATCATGAACTTCTATTTTCTACCCTTTACTAGAATACAAAGTATCCAAACCATGGACTTCTTTGCGCCTATTGGCTTTCCCCC